GACTTTGTACTTCTCCCAGAGTTCATGTCTGTCAAACTTACCTGCCATGGACTCTTTCATAAGTTCCATGAAATCGTCTTCGGACAATCCGGGGAAAAGTACAATGTCAGTAAGTATTCTTTTAACATCCTTACTTAAACTCTTTGCTGTCTGTACACAAATGACAACTGAGATGTTAAAGTGTCTGAGCTTCTTAAGAATTCGACACATATCTTGTTCTCTATTCTTTAACAAAGGATGAGATGCAAAGTCGTCTAAAATAAGAAGACACCTATGAGGGTAAGTCTTCCAATCGTAAGATTGCAATTTCTTCGAAATGTATTCTATCTCTTTCTGTTTGTTTCTGAAGTGGTGTTTGTCTAATATTCTCTGCATTTCCTCATTTGGGTCTTTAAACTTCGAATTTATATACTCATTTATAGCATTGTACTTCAAAACCCTTCTTTGGTACTTCTTTATCCAATCTAACAACTCAGAGTCTTTTATACATACTAACTTAGACTTCTTTATAATATCTTTGAACGAATTGACGGTTTGGTCAAATTGACCAGAAGTACTACAAATGACAACTAACTCATAGAATGGGTTCTCTCATCTAGTTCTTGTTGTTGTGCAGCCATTTTAAGATAAGTGAAAGTCTTACCCGACCCAGGTGGTGCAATTAGACCTGTTATACCATTCTGAGCAAATAAGAACTTGTCATGTATAGGTTTTATCTGAGCATTTTCTAACTTTCTCTTGTTCTTGTTTAAAACATTCTCAAATTTTTTGTCAATGTCAGCAAACTTTTTTTCTAACATATTTTTAGAAAAATTAAAATTTTTATCTTTTAGAAAATGTCTAGCGATTTTGCTATCTATATTCGAGACAAGCTTTTCGACAGCAAAACATCTGTCGACCATAAAATCTTACATAGTGTAAACAAGAAAGGTGAATTTGTTCTAAAGTTTCTGTTTCTGGGAATATGACAAGAACCATAAAACATTACAAAGAGCAGTCTTAAAATTTGTCAATGACAGACTTGTTGACAGAGATGACGCCGATTGGAAAGATGAAGTCCAACAAAAGTTCTTAGAATGCAAAGAAGACACATGCGCTGTTCTTGAAGATGAAATAGAAAACAGAATAGATGAGCTATTAAAGGACAAAGAACTTTTACATAGATATGGTTCTGAGAAATTTGACATATCTCCACCAGAGAAGAAGAAGAAGAAAGAAAAGAAAGAGAAAAAAGTAGAAGAAGAGAAGAAAGAACCTGAACCAGTTCCAGAGAAAAAGAAATTTGACATGTAAAAATAAAATTTTATTTTTAGAACATTTCTGGGTCAATGTCAATGTTCTCTTCCTCTTTAGGAGCAAACACTGGCTTAGACTCTAAAATCTTTTTACCCAATTTACCTTGAACTTCTACAACTTTAGACTCATAATATTCATAGTCGTCTGTCTTCTTTGGTTCATAAGGTATAACAAGTTTGTATGCTTTGCCTTCTTTAAGGTTTGAAAACCTTCTGTCAAAACTTTCTTTGACTGCTAACAAACCTTCTATGTCTAAGTCTTCAAATTTCGCACCATTTTTAGTCACAATAGCAAACTTAACTGGTTCGATGTTCCAAACTTTGCTGAATGAAGACTTTTCAAAATGGTAGAAGTAAACATTCAAATATGTGAATGGGTCTAGTTCTTCTTTAAGTCCTGACATGTACTTGTTTACTGAGATGAATTTTGCCATCTTTTCTATCGGATAAAAAAATATTTTTTTTTTAAAATTTACTCATAAAAATTTTTCTTTGTATATACACCATTCTGTACGTCTAAAAGACTTTTGACATTTGCCAAGAATGTTCGTTTAGACGCTGTCATATAACCATATTCTTGACAATATTGTTTATACGAATCGTACAATGACCTTTCATCTAAACACTCAAAGTCAGTTTCATCTATGAACAGTTCATATACACTCTTGTTTGCTTCTAACAATGTTTGTCTCTCTTCGGTATGTGGAATTTGTCTTGGATTGAACTTAAATATCTAATGTCATAAAATATGAGAAACAAGTGGTTGTAAAAGTCAGATGTCAAAGTTTCTGCTAAGTCGTCAAAATATTCTGTATCTTGCATATGAGAATCTGACGTTCTGACAACTACATATCTTCTGTCAGAACTTTCTAACTTCATCGGAACAGCATTGTTTGAAACCATAATGAAGTTTTGCAACATTTTCACAAACTCTTTGGTCTTTATACTTTTCTTTCAACAACTCCAACTTTGTCTTATAAGACTCTTCAAAGCATCTGAGTTCAAAACTTTTGTGTGTATCTATACTTTGAAGTTCATTGCAAACTATAAGTTTCATATTCTCTATTTGAGGAGTTAAACTTGCCACAGATGTTTTTCTAAGTTTGTCATATTCGGATTCGAAAACCTTCTAACAGTTTGCACAAAATATCTGTAAAGAAAGTATTCTTACCAGTTCCTTGTTTTCCAATTATAATGAGAGCAGTTTCATTTTTAGCACTTGGATGTTGTAAGATATTTGCAAACCAACATAAGATATACTCATAGACTCTTTCGTTTCCATTGCATATAATTTCTTTGACATGGTCTAACCAAGCTTCTATAATATTTTCTTTCCATTCTACTTGTTCATATTTATATCCAGTGAAGATAGAATAGAAGTTTGGAGAAGGTGTATAAAACTTTATACCTCGAACTGAAAAATCTTCTAACTTTGACAATAAGATATCCCAAGCATCTAACATCTTCATTCCAACTTGTACAACTTTTATTTTCTTAAGTTTCTGTCTACATTCTTGTTCTGAAACTATTGTCGCTTTAGGTTTGTTAAAGACTACATCCCATTCTTTCATGACATAACATTCTGGGGCAGAGTCGACATAAATGACTAAACGTTTCAAATTCTCGACTGCTTTGTTATAGTCTCTAAATGGACACATATTTCTGAATGCTTGGAAGTCATAAAAATCTGAAACATCTATTCTGTACATTTTTATAAAAATAAAAAAAATATTTTTTTTTATTCTTGACTTTGTTGTTGCATTTGTTGTTCTTGAGCTATTTGTTGTTGAAGTTGTTCTTGTAATACAATACTTTCACCAGTTGCATCTTCCAATTCGAAACTTTCTGCCGTCATTGACAAATACATAGGACATAAAAGTTTTACAGGAACAAAGTTTGCGTCAACTAATGTCAACGTTATACTTGCCAAAGTGTTTGAGTTCACTAAGGTTGAAAATTCTGCATTCGAATGAACAATAGGCAAACCAGCAGAGAAAGTATTGTTTATACGCATAAGTATCTTTTGGTCATAATAGTTTCTGTCGACATTCGAATAACACTTTGAACCTAAGTTTGAAACAATATATAAGATTGGTGTGCTTAATGTCAATGGAATAGACATTCCTTGTATGACACCTTTTCCTGTTATAGGAAACTGTTGGTAGTAAAAACCAGAAATAAGTTTTGTATTATAGCTCATATCGTTTATAGTAAACTCAGTCGGACATCCAAACATAATGAAACCTGCTCTAGTTGCAGCACATGTTACACCCGTACTTAAAGTATTAAATAAGTCAACAAAACCTGTTGGTGGTATATCTGAGTAAGTATCTTCAAAGGAGTATTTTTTACCATTCACAACAATAAAGTCTTCTGGTGTCAAAAGAGCAAAACAGGCTTTAGTCGTCATTGTGTTTAAGTTAGTTTACAATACCGTCCTTGAGGACTTTGTAAGTTTGTTGTTATAGAATTATATGACTCAGGGTTTTTAGTCGTAATAGTATAAACCATTATATCTTCTGCCATTTACTTAGCAAATAAATTTTAATGAAATGTTGTGGTCGTCAAATATTTTTATGACGTCTGGGAAACTATACTTTAAGTTCAACGTTTCACCTCCTTTCATAACGTATATCTTGTCAATGACATTATATGAAACACCACAGCAACTAATGTCGGGTTCTATTTCTTTGATGTTTATATCGTCTGCCTCTGTCAAAAGTTTCAATAGTTCTTTCAAAACTTCATGAGGTGCAATGACATATGAGTTCACTTTTACAGGGTTGTGTTCGACCAAGTTCGAAGTTAACATTATACCTAAAGCTTGACAAATCTTCTCCTGAGTTTGAAGTTTGTCTTTCAGTTGTTGGTAGTCGTTTCGAATATCTGCAACAGAACTTAAGTCTCTGCTAACTTCAGGATATGTTGGTTGTTCTTTTACAGGAACAATTGTTATACCATCTTCGTCTTCGTATGGTTTCCCCACTTCAACATCTCTGTCTTTGACATTGACAATAACACTTTGACTGTTTGTTTGAGTTGGTGAATTTAACTTCACATCTGCCACCGCCATTAAACCTTTTGAAACACTTACGCTTCTATTTTTCGGAAATGACATTTTACTTAGAATAAAAAGATGGACGTATTCGAGTATCTCTTCGAATTGAAGCAAACAAAGTTTACACACACAAACAATACAAATACATTGACAGAATAGTTCTTTACACAAACAATGGTAAATGTTATAGAATAGCATATTTGCTGAACCAAAATATTTCATAAAGCAAAGAAAGTTGGTATAACTGAAATGGTGAAAGTTCTTGACGTTGACAAAAATATAACAACAAAACTTACAGATATTTCTAAAGGTAAGTTTATCTTACAATATTATGTCAAAACTGGCGTACTGTCAATATTTGACGGAGAGAAGTCAGTTCAAGAACAACTTACTGACCTGCTGCCAAAATCTGCTCGATGGAAGCTGTCGTTATGCCAATCTGAGGAGCCCCAGCAGGTTTCATCGAACGAATCTTCAAAAGAGCATCTTCCGTGAAAAGTGCTATTGGTTTTGTAAACTTCTTTGCTCTCATTCATCTGGACCGTCTCTGTCACCAGTATATTGTATTTGTACAGTACCAACAGTTGAAATACCACCCATAAAGTCTTCTGAGTCAGCAAATGGAATGCCAAGCCAAAAGTTTGAACGGTCTCCATTTGTATATTGAGTTTTTTGACCTCCTGTATGAGTCCATACTTTCACATATGGCATAATAGAACTTTGCATTTCAGGGTTAATGGTTGTTGTGAAGTTGTTGTTAAAGTTCATAGCATCTAATGTCAAGTTGTATGACCTCATATCCTCAACTGTAGAATATTCTTCTCTTGGATAATATTTGCCATCTATGTTTATATGATATTTAATACCGGGGTTGTAGAAACAAGAATAGTCATTTATAGTTCGTCTGAACAGTACAAACATAGTATCTGCATGTTTCATTGCAGTTGTTAAAGCAATATCTGTTCTTGCACCTGGGTCAGCACTTTGGTTTCCAACTTCACCTGCAAAGTCTTTGACAGATATTTGGTGTATAGGGAACATAAGTGGAACTGCAATATATTTGGCAGCTAAAGCATTTGAAATATCTGGGTCCAACATATAGACTGCAAGTCTGCTTTCTATTCTCTTGCATTCAAACTTTTCGCATGTAAACTTAACTGGGTCCCAAGCAGTTCCAGCAGCATTGAAATAATAGTTTACTTCATTGTTGAAGTTTGAGAAACCAAAGTCTAAGTCAACTTTGTCTTTGCAAAAGTCACAGAACTTGGCTCCACCAGTTCCAGCTACAGTAATGCTGAATGGGTCTTGTGTTGGTGCAATGACTAAGTTATTTTTGCTTGGAGTAAGTTCGATAGAAATTTTTCCTGCCCAGTTTGGCAAGTATCTTAAAAACCTGAAGATGAGGAAAGATGACAAAGGAACTCTAAGTTTCAGTTTTACTTTAGTGGCAGCAGTTCCATCTGAACCAGAAAGGTTAACATAAACTCCTGGAACGTTAGGGTCAAGTCTTCTTATTTTCTCAATATTTGCATACTGGTCTGTTTGTTCTCTAGCTTGTGGTTGTACTGAGTTTCTCAAAGCGAACCATTCATAGTTTGCCCATGTTACTGTTTGAACTAAGTCAGAGTTAGAATATATCTTATATCCCATGAAAACTTCTGGAGCATATTGGTATCCGACATAGAAAATTCCATTGCAACCTTTCTTGTCAGACAACTTGGCAGAAGGTTTTATTTCAATGTCTTGTTCCACGTATAAGAATGAGTTGTCAATAGAAATAATATGAAACCTGTCGCAAGCAATATCTACTGTTGTTGAAGAACCTTCTCCAAACTCACCTACGTTTCCATAAGAAACAGCAGTTGTATATTCGTAAGTTCCAGGAACTATTTCTGACCTTCTAATGGCATTGTCGCATTCGTTATACCATTCGGAAACATTTCCGTTCATGGCATCCAAAACTGTTGGCGTTATATTCTGAGCGGCGTACATTTCATATGGGTAAAAATATAGAATAGTTGGATTTATATCATAATAGAACCCACTCGACCAAGCTTTACTTTCTTCCTGACTGAGTTTTTAACTCTTCTTTTTCCTTCATTGCCACTACTTTCACTAGATGAAGTTACTTCTTCACTACTTTCACTTTGTTCTACTCTTCTCTTCTTTGGTGTCGCTTTTGGTAACTTGCCCTCTGCTTCAAGTTGTTGCATCTTTGCCTCATGTTCACCTAGTATGTTGTAAATTTCCATGTCCTTTTTGCCTTTGGGCTCTGGTCGCCCATCTCAGGTAACCTATATCCTAGAAAGATTTTGTCATAGTTTGTATTTGAGTCTTCGCGTATTGTTTGCATGACTCTTTCCTGAGTTTCCGGTTCAAGCTCTTCAAACAGAGCTTGTCCATATGGAATAAGCTCGTTTCCAAATATATGTTTTTGTAGCCATTCTGGTTTTCTTTCCATGTTACCAATAATATCTTTTGTGAATGGGAAAGCTTTTACCCAATGTTTCAGTCTTGCGTCATTTATTTCTGTAGTTGGTTTTATTTTGTCAAGGAACATGTTTTTCAATACTAACATTTCATTTGGTACTGTCCATTTGAGTTTTCTTAAATATTCATCCCTTCTCGTTCATTGTCTGCAAAGTAAGTTTTTATGACATTTTGCAAACTTTCGTTTGCAAGGTCATGTACAATAGGTTCTCTCCTTCTATCTCCCTAACTTTCTTTCTAAACTCTTCACCAAATATACCATCTCTATGGTTCTGTGTAGTTCTTTGAGATAAATGTTTTAGAACGTCAGGTGTTATATTTCCATCAGCCATGTTCATTTCATACTGGTCCAAAAATATCTGCATCTTTCATATCTTTCAATGGCATTAAAGCCGCGCTGAAAATACCAGCTATATCTGGTTCACCATTCACTTCCATTGCGTCTACAACTTCTTGGAATTGTGGTTGTAAGTTTATGAACCACCTATCCGGATTAGCTTTATGACCCCATCTCATTGTAGTTCCATAGTCTGCAGAAACAAAAGTAGGTTTGTTTCCATATTGGTTAGGTTCTGAATGAACTTTAAACAATGTTTCATTTCTATATGTTTTGTTGAAATTTAACCTTTTATTTTCACCGAGTTCAGCCAAAGATTGAACGTATATGGTCGTAAGTAAAAAGGATTGTTGTATTTGCGTACACTTTCTTTCAGTTCTTCCATTCTATGCTGAATATTTTCATCTGATGTTGGAGTCTTTTGTATGTCGGCGAACATTTTTCGATATTCTTCTACTATGTCAGCTGAATTTTTCTTAGACTCTTGGAAAGATTCCATATTCTCCGCATACTCTTGTTGAGGGTCAAGATTTTTTCGGCTGTTCCAAATCTTCATCTAGTTCTGTGAAGTTAGTTTCCAAAGGAGGGACTTGTTCGTTTCCTTCAGGCTCTTCTAGCTGTTGTTGCTGAACTATTTCTTCCATGTCTGGTTGTATCTGAACTTCTTCCTGTGAGTTTCTTGTACCTCATCTGCTGGCATTTCATATATTCCGAGACCGTTTTTAACAAGTTCCCTATTTAAGCCATCCGCATTCATAACCCTTTCTTCTTTCGTTCCGTCTCTATTTTTTACGCGTTTCATGAAGATAGTTGAATTATCATTTATCTCTGACACCAAATATCTCGGAGTAAATTCAGTCATGTCATTTGGATGATATGCTATTAAATCATATCCCTTAGCGAGCTTGTATTTTCCAGGTTTGAAATTATATCCCATTTGGTGCTGAACCATAAAGCTAAATAGGTTTCGGGTCAGTATTTCCTTCCTTGAACTTTCTAATAGCTTCTTTTATATCTGTCACTAAAGTCAAGAGTATCTGGGTAACCATAGTCTTTTCCTTAAGCATTTTTAAGAATTCTTGGTTTCCTTGTTCTCTTACTTCTTTTATGTCCTTGCTCTGTTTGTGGTTGTTGTGTGCAGTGTTTTGAACTGTTGGTTGTGGTGCAGTGTTTTGAACTGTTGGTTGTGGTGCTGGATTTTGAACTGTTGGTTGTGGTGCAGTGTTTTGAACTGTTGGTTGTGGTGCAGTGTTTTGAACTGTTGGTTGTTGTGTTGGTTTTGGTGCATGCTGTGTCTGTGTCCATGTGACGATGTAAATGTTTTAGGTAGTCCTGGTGCAGGTGCTTCTCTTGGAGGGTTTGGTGGTATATAAGTTCCACTAGCTAGTATATAAGTTCCACAGCTGGTATATAAGTTCACCAGCTGGCACATATGTTCCATCTGCAGCATAATGTCCTACCTGACTTTTCGTTTTAAGAAAGCATTTACTAGGTCTGTTTTGGTCTGTTGTAACTCTTTTTCTTGACTTTCCACAACAGTTGCTCTAACGGCGTCATAGGCACTTTGAACTGCCTGTCTCGTTGCTGCATCTGTTATTTTCGTCATATTTTGTGCTACTTCTCTTAACTCGTTGTCGAAACCTTCAGACTTCAGTTTCTTTCCAGATGAGAAGTCGTTCACTAGTTTCACCTTACTATGAAGAGCTTCGAAGGCGTTCTTAAAGTCAGCATTCATTAAAGCTTCATTTGAACTGTCTTCATCCGCTTGTATTTTTGTCCTTATTGACCCTATAAGTTGGGCTGCTTTAGCGTTGGCTTGGGCATCTAACCAGTCATTATTAGCTTTTATATATTCTGCGCTTTTCATTGCCTTTTGCATGGCTGCGTCGTTATTTTTACTTTCTTGTGCTAAGTTTTCATACTGTACGGTTTGGTTTTGCAACTGTAAAAGTTTTTCTGCCTTTACATTTGCTTCAACTTCTTTTTTATACTCATCGCTATCCATATATGTCTTCAGGGCTTTTTGTTTTATTTCTTCATCTTTCAGTACTTTATATTGAGTAGTATGGTTTTTCAAATTTATAACATCTTGTTCCATTTTTGCTACTTCTGCTGCTTTTTCTGACACTTTTTTCGCATATTCCTCTGTACTTAGTTCTTTCAGTTGTTCTTCTTTCTTCTTTTTCTCTACGTTTAACTCATTGAGTTTCTTTGTGTGTCTGTCATATTCTAGTTTCTTTTCGTTTTCACTTATTTGTTTCTGTATGTCTATGTTTGACTTTTTGACATCTGTTATTTGATTTTTGAGTGAACTCAAATTCATTTGACTTTGAGGGTTATAAGCTGTTCCGTCTGCAGCTCCACCATAGCCTGCCATTTTCGCTAAAAGTGCCGCTCTTAAACCTCCACTCTGTGCACCATAACTCGGTTTAAAAGCATAGGGTTGCTTGACATTTGTTGCAACATAGTGGGGTCATTCATAATTTGTTGTTGCAACTGTTGTTGTGGTGTCAGTTTTACTATTGGATGTTTCAATGCTCCTTCCTCTTACGTATATTCTTACGTAGCTTACGTGGCATTTTAAGTGAAGTAAAAAACGGTTTTTGACAGATGTTTATATGACACTTTTTGTTCAGCACAAAAAACTACTCGGTCAAAGTGTTGTCAGTTTTGTAAAATAACCGTCCTATCTCATTCTATAAGGGGAAAAGGCTTCTCAAAGTATACTTCCTTGGAACGCCTGTAACTTTTCCTGTAGCGACGATAGACCCTTACTTGTCCGGACAAAGTTATACTATTTTGAGTGCTCTACAAAAAAGTCAACGGCGACGACTCTCAAAAACCGTTGTGTAAAAAGTTTTACCGTTTGACAAAAAAGTATATATAGAAAACAAAAAACGTTTATAGTTCATTCGATATTTGAGATGGAACGGTTTTCCAACGGTAACTATTAAATAAAATAAAAAAATAGAGGGGGTTACCGTTGACGAAAACGGTTTATTTTAAACTTTTCTATGAGTAGTCCGAAAAAAACAGTTCATTTTTCATAATGGAAGGAAGAAAAAATGTCGCAAACAATTCGTCGACTACCTCTGCAGTTAAAGTTCCTACAACTTATGTCTCACCATTCTCAAAACCCTTACGACCTCCTATAATACCAAAGCAACTTCCTCATACAATTGCAAACAATTCGTCGACTACCTCTGCAGTTAAAGTTCCTACAACTTATGTCTCACCATTCTCAAAACCCTTACGACCTCCTATAATACCAAAGCAACTTCCTCATACAATTGCAAACAATTCGTCGACTACCTCTGCAGTTAAAGTTCCTACAACTTATGTCTCACCATTCTCAAAACCCTTACGACCTCCTATAATACCAAAGCAACTTCCTCATACAATTGCAAACAAATTGTCCAACAATTTGAGTTCTTCTTCTCAAAACACAACAGATACAGTTGTCCAAACAGCACCAGAACAAGTTTCACATAGTTCTACAATTGCAAACAAATTGTCCAACAATTTGAGTTCTTCTTCTCAAAACACAACAGATACAGTTGTCCAAACAGCACCAGAACAAGTTTCACATAGTTCTACAATTCAAGACAAATTGTCCAACAATTTGAGTTCTTCTTCTTCTCAAAACACAACAGAAACATCTGAAACAGATTTACAACCAGCACCAGAACAAGTTTCACATAGTTCTACAAGTATGTTAACAAGAGCACAATTTCAAGATTTAATTTCTCTTGAACAATATTCGAGTAACGAAACACAAAGCGACGACTGTAACCTCTCGCTACCCGAATCCATTCAAAGAAAATACGCCATGAAAAGACTGAAATTGTTGTATAAACTTCTTAACAATTGGGGAGTCGAAGACAACTCAGATTATAGTGAAATGTTTAACAAAGTCATAGAATCTGTTAAACCAATTGAAAACGACATAAAAAATCCCGGTGTTCTTGTAGACCTTTTCGCCTCAAAATTACCAGTTACAACCAATCTAATAGCAACACAAGCTATAGAGCAATTTATTTTATGTTTTCCCAAGCAATATAGACAACACCTGAGGGAAACAAGAATAGGAAAATTTCAATTGGTGTATCCTACAACATACAACTATTACGAAGAAGCAAATGAATATGGAGAACTCTCATTCCATTTCACACTTTCAGTTCCTGAGGGGGAAGAAAAAGCAATCTATCATGTACAATCTCTTGCAGGATGTGAAGGAAAACCCCACATAATAACTACTGTTGCAATTGACAAACCTGCAAGAGTCGAAGACGATGTTTTGTTCGCGTCCATTGCTGGTTTTGGCATGGGAGAACCAATTCCAATTTCCCATTTCACAGAATACTCAGCACAACATTTTCAAAATGTAGAATTCGTGTTCTACGACCATCAAAAGTTCCTGCTAACAAAGCCAAAGAAACAATTTGTCTCAATATTTGTTGCTGGTCATGTGGCTGACAAAGAGCCATCAGATACTGACTATGAAGAAGAGGAGGAGGAAGAAGAAAACGATAGCGATGTCGCTCTTATCGAATAAAAACTTTAATTTCTTACTATATAATTTTTTAGTTCTCCTCTAGGTTTTTTAGGGGCTAGAAGGGGCGCAGCCCCTGGAAGCCCCACTACCTTTTTTTTTTTTTTTTTTTTTTTTTTATTTAAGTTGGCGTATCTTACGCCCTTCCAAAAATATGTATTAGAAAGATGACTTATAATTTCATAAATTATTTTGTCCCGACGGTTTGAGCAGTTGTCAGAATGGTTGCTTACACAATGCGTCAGCAAAATGTCGGTTTGGGTGCCCTTCTTGGCCTCCTGAGTACTCACCAAGATACACCCAGCTCCTGCAAAACACCTCCCCTAGGTGCGCATTACCTGACGGCATTATTTTGCAATTATTTCAAATTTTTTAGATGTCTTTTGTTAAAGTTTGTTAACTAAAGACTTGAAAACAGCTTACCGCTTCAAGCTGCTCTCTTCCCGGTTCCTCTGCCGCAATCTTCTGTTTGATTGTGCGCAAAGCTCTCCTCCTTGTGAACTTTGCCTGCCAGATACACCTGGGAGACAGCATTCGGACATCTTACCGCTTCAAGCTGCTCTCTTCCCGGTTCCTCTGCCGCAATCTTATGTCTGATTGTGCGCAAAGCTCTCCTCCTTGTGAACCATGGCTGATAGAAAGAACTGAAAGACAGGATAGGAGGAACATGCCGGTTCAAGTTAACTTGCAATATGCTTCTGATTAGTGATTTTAGATGAAAGATTAGCGAAATCGCATTTAATTTGGATAGAAGGATTCAATTTTATGAAGCAGGCTCGTAGGAAATATGCAGGAATAGCACAATCTTTTGCAATCACAACGCGATTGCAAAACTTCGACCGACAAGAGTGTATTGTGCACTCTTGTCGGTCTGCATGTCTCATTCCGGGAGACATTGTCACTGCATGTCTCCCAGAATGAGACAATCTTCTGCAATCAGAATGTGGTTGCAAAACTTTGACCGACAAGAGTGTATTGTGCACTCTTGTCGGTCTGCATGTCTCATTCCGGGAGACATTGTCACTGCATGTCTCCCAGAATGAGACAATCTTCCGCATTCATAACATGAATGCGGAAGTTTGACCAACAAGAGTGCACAATACACTCTTGTCGATCTAAATGTATCTTACAATCAAAGACACTTTCATACAATCTTTTCGAAGTTAAAAAAAAATTTAATTATTTCTTTCTTTTGTTTATTAAATCGCCTTACTCACGTACTAATCTCTTTTAGAGACTCTATCGAGCTATCCCCACATATAAACCTGTGACAATAATACATATTTACTCTCTTCATATTCTGATCTCATGACACATTATCGCAAAAACTATAATTATACAACACATCTCATAAAGTCTCATTTTAGCCCTATCTAAGCGTTCAAAACCTATTTTCCACACGTAATCTGATTCTTCTGGCTCCGCTGATTCGATTTCTGCTGTCAGATCGTGAAAATATGCATCACATAAAGAGATAAACACAACTCAAAATTATTGCTTTTTTTTCAAATTGTCTATTCATCCATCTTTACATATTTATTATCTCCTCCGTTCCCCCTCACAAATTCTTTTAATTTTCTGAATAATACGTATAATAAAATGAATATCTCAAAAACTAAAACACAAAATTAATGTTGGAAAATGACTAGATATAATCTGAACTTTTGAATTCATACATTTTTGGAAAAAAATGAATTTTCAAAAAAAGAGCTTATTTAGGAAGGAACCTGAAGAGAAATTTTAAGGAAAATATTAAGTTGTGCAATTTGCATTTATCTCTTTATGTGATGCATATTTTCACGATCTGACAGCAGAAATCGAATCAGCGGAGCCAGAAGAATCAGATTACGTGTGGAAAATAGGTTTTGAACGCTTAGATAGGGCTAAAATGAGACTTTATGAGATGTGTTGTATAATTATAGTTTTTGCGATAATGTGTCATGAGATCAGAATATGAAGAGAGTAAATATGTATTATTGTCACAGGTTTATATGTGGGGATAGCTCGATAGAGTCTCTAAAAGAGATTAGTACGTGAGTAAGGCGATTTAATAAACAAAAGAAAGAAATAATTAAATTTTTTTTTAACTTCGAAAAGATTGTATGAAAGTGTCTTTGATTGTAAGATACATTTAGATCGACAAGAGTGTATTGTGCACTCTTGTTGGTCAAACTTCCGCATTCAAGTTATGAATGCGGAAGATTGTCTCATTCTGGGAGACATGCAGTGACAATGTCTCCCGGAATGAGACATGCAGTGACAATGTCTCCCGGAATGAGACATGCAGACCGACAAGAGTGCACAATACACTCTTGTCGGTCAAAGTTTTGCAACCACATTCTGATTGCAGAAGATTGTCTCATTCTGGGAGACATGCAGTGACAATGTCTCCCGGAATGAGACATGCAGACCGACAAGAGTGCACAATACACTCTTGTCGGTCAAACTTCCTAATACAAAATTTGATTCCCTTATTATCTTCTTAACAAAACTTAAGATTTCAATAATACATCATGAAAACATTCATTTACTACATTCACACTGTTATTCCTTTCTATAAATTAACTCATTTAATAGAATCTTGTTTTTATATCTTATTATTTTCTCATAATACTTCTAATTCCTCTATTTCCTCTTCCACATAAAATTTAATTTTGTAATGCTATCATATACACTTAATGTTTTCAAATTTTCAGATTTAAATTTAATCTTTATTTTCATCATCATTTATAATCTTGTTCCTATATAAAGTTATAATAAATTATCGTCAGATTCTAATATTTATGATTCTTACTACTCAATTCAATATAATTATGTTAGTCACTCATATTCAGGAGAATAATTTAAAAATCTATAGCTCATATTTTGATAGTTATATATTTAGATGATATATATTGCAATTCCGGTTTCAACACGATCAAATGCCAAACCAAGACAAAATATATATGAATTTTCAAAATATCGATTTACATTAGAATCTATATCTAATTTTATCAATACACAAGTAGTGAATGTTCAATACATCTTTGAGCAACGTGAATAGCACAATTTTATAGGATTATTTGTTGATTATATAAAATATAAGCCAAATCGAATCTGCTGTATAGTACTTTAGTTTATCATTGAATGTTAAATGTGTTCAGATAAATATTTGAGTCAGATATCGCATTTTCTAATTTCAAAATTTATCTCATGAAGTTAGATTTTATTTGATCATACAACATCATGTTAGTCAAACTAGAGTTCAATGGCGATTCTAAAATGGAACAAATGCTTGTTTTATCAAAATGTTAAAATATTAATCTAAAAAACTTAATATCTAACCAAACCATTCTAGAATTATTATATACAGGTATAGGCAATCTAAATGCACACGGAATTCGGAAAATTAAAAAGAATATTTATGAGATTATTAAATCTTATGTAATTCAATGAAAAGTAGATAATATGAATATCTATAGGCTATATATCAACATATGAGTTTTTGGTTTGACCAATACTATACTAATGTGATCAAATTAATCTGATTTCTTAGATTTTCATTTGAAGCATTTGCAGTAGTAGGGGTACCTTTATATATTAACATATTAAAAAATTGCGCCCCGATTCGCAGTTTCTTCATGATTTTGAGACTGCATTAGATTTCGCGATGCAGAAAAAAATCACTTTAGATTCCCGTCAAACTCTAAGTATAAGCATGTATCTATATGTAGAAACTGTCTGCGCTATTTATTTCCCGGCTCAAAAAACCACGGTGTCTGTGGAAATATAGGGTAATAAATTTCTTAATAGCAAAAGCATGAATATTCGGAAATCATTCAGATTAAACGAATCTACAGACATATTATATCAACATTATATTCTTGTTTAGTTAAAATTATTTGATTTTTCCAAAATCTGAAAACGATTACAAACGGAAAAAAATTTTCCAAGTAATAATTGAACTATTTAGATCTACCATGTCAACGCATATTTAATTACGATCAGAAAAATGAAAAGAATCTGTTATGGTTATATAAAAATTTTAGAGATAATTCAAAAAGCTCATTCAATCTCCCATGGCTCCATTCAAATTTTATATGTCTTTCAGAAATATTTGATAGATATGTGGTCATCCCAAAGTCCAATATCCTCCACTATCACTCAATACAAATCTAAACTTTAAAAATTGAATTAATTCAGAATTGTTAGTCAAAAATTTTTGATAAGTGTTTAGATCATTTTTAATGTTTGCAGCACTGATCGCGTACGTGACATGTGAAATGTCATTATTCTGCCAGGCCCCGCGCCTTATGCCAACACCTTTGAAGAATTTGAGTTTAGTTCATGTCTCTGTAATCACAAGACATGGTCACAGAACACCGAACTATCAATTCGTTCCCCTTGAGGAGCGTGGCACCTGGGAGTGTCGTAGCTCGTCTGCTAATAATACTAAGAGAATATTTAACTACCTTAAAAAAGATGCTCAGAAAGGCTCTATCGAATACTTACCTAATTGTATGCCAGCAGACTTGACACTTCTCGGAGAAGAAATGCACAAGGATCTTGGCGCTACATATAGAAAGTATTACGTTGATGAATTACATTTCTTACCAGAGAAATTTTCGCCAAAGCTTTTCCACTTCGAATCTTCTCCAACAAGAAGAACATTTTTAAGTGCCGAATCCTTTATTAACGGACTTTATCCACCTACCGGAAAGCACGAGATCATCACAATTGCTTCAGGCAGTTCAAAGACGTCTTCTATCAACGGATGGTCTTCAAATTGCAAGTTATACAAAGCACAATATAAGAATTACCAAGCTGGCCCAGATTACCAACAGATGTTAGAGGAAGGTTGGCCAATGATGGAGAGAATTGCTAAGGAGTTCCAGATGCAGAAGACAGTTACAAATATGAGAGCAATCTGCAGTTGGGCAACAGCTTTTAACTGCACAACATCTGGAAACCTTCCAGACTACTTAGATGACAAGTTCATGAGCTTCTGCTACAGAGAGCAATGGATGTCTAAGTTCGGTATCTACAACTTCACAACAAATTCAAGTGTTGCAGGATCTCCAATCATGAGAAGATTACTTAAGGATCTCGATACAGCATTAGCAAATGGCCAGAAATTCTCATTGTTCAGCGGCCACGATTCTACAATTGCTGCAGTCCTTACAATGCTTGGAAAGTATCTGAAATACGTACCAACTTACGCTTCCCACTTAAACTTCGAACTTTTCCGCTCAAACGATACAAATGAGTTGTTCGTAAGATTTACAGTTAACGGTGAAACCTTCAAGGTTCAGCCATTTGATCAGGTTTTAGTTCCTTATAAAGAATTTAGGGCTTATTTCAACCAGTTCCTTAACTATTGCCCTGAGACTTCAGATTAGAAATGTTATAGATTTTGTATATGTGCGTTTTTGTCTGTTATTATAAATACTATTTTCTATCCTTTAAATTTTATTTTATTTATATCGTTAGTACCAACGAAATGATTCAAATATTACAATCAATGAGACTTGTTAAAGAGGTAGAACTCGAACCAAATTTGCAATTATTAGATTTAATTTTTCATTTTATGAACATTCCCATCCTAAATTTGCTATTAAATGAAATTAAAAAGTTTATTTGCAATACACCGAAATCCAAAATTCCTCAACTAGATGAGTCAAAAGAGATTGAAGAGAAAAGTGCACAACCAACCGAAAAATGTTGTTTTAAACCAATTGATATAAATTCCAATGAAGGCACATTTCTTCAGGCAGCAAAGAAGGGCGGGAACATCCAACTTATGGAAGAATACATGTCTGATCCGAATTTTGATATTTATTGCTGTGGCACCACAGGAAATAATGCAATGATGCTTGCAGCGCTTGAAGGAAATGTTGAGATTATTAAGATGTTGCACAAACATGGCATGAATATGTACAAAAGAAATGCAGATAATTTAACGGCGTTTCATATAGCGGCAATAAAAGGGAATTTAGATGTTATAAAATATTTTGTTTCTATCAATTTTAACTTACAATGTCGGGCTAATAATCTAAATGGTTTAGAATTGGCAATTTTAAATAATAACATGAATATTGTCCAGTACTTTTTAGAAGAATTAGATTTCGAGCCAGTTTTTGATTATGCTGTTGCCGCTAGTTCCCACGGAAAAAGGGATATCTTGACTTATTTAAACAGGTTTAATATATTTTGGGAAAAACAAAACATATTATTGAATATTGCAGCCTCAAAATGCAATCTAGATGCAATTAATTACTTTATTGACGATCTTCATTTTGATGTTAATTCAAGAGACCAAGAAGGAAGAACTCCTCTTATGATTGCGGCCTTAACGAAACAAGAAGAAGCAGTAGACCTTCTTATAGAAAAAAAGGCTGATATTAATATGAAAAGCGACGAATTTAAAGATGCCTTTTACTATGCTGTAGAGAGCGGAAGCACAAATATTGTTTGTAAACTGTTTATTAATAATGCAAAAATAGAAAATATTAATCAGCTAATTACAGTTGCAAAAGCAAAAAATGATGAAAAAATGGTAAGACTCCTCACTAACGATCTAAATTAATCTATCTATTCATAACAATTGCATATTAATACCATTTTGTAATTGATTAATCTTCAAAAGGCGATTTTTTTTAATTTTGATATTCCAACAAATTTGTTACATTCATAGGATTTGACCTAAATTTTTTTTTCCAAAAAATTCAGCAAAGTCTTTTATCACCAACAAAATTATATTTATTTTCCTCCTTTGATGCGCAAATACAAAATTCATATTTTTATTCATTAATCTGACAAGAATTGTGTTGCATCCATTGATTATTTATCAAGGATTTTATAAAAATCGAATGATTATTGCTTTCTTCAAAAATAAATAATATTATAATTTTTAAGTTTTAGCAAAATAATTTTGAATATACAAACAATGCTAGGAATTAATTCTATAAATAAATAAGAATTTCATATAAAAGAAGAAAAATAGTATCTTAGTACCAACATAACCGCACAGTTTAAATATCATCATTTTCTTCATTTGATTTCGATGATTTAGAAATATCGAATATAATTTGAAAAGCCTGAAGCGAGAATGAAATTGATAATATCACCAAAGAAACGAAAGATGGTAAGCCCCAAAAAATGAAAATGAAAGTATTGTCTTCGAAAATTTTCATTGGCAACCCAAAGAAATCGTGATTTTCTGAAAGGATGTCATTTATAATCTGAGATGCAAGAATAGAGTTTCCTAAGAAAATTGCCACGTAACCCCGACACTTGTGAAAATAGGCCGATATTGATGAAACAATAAGGATGATAATGTTAACAATAATTATGAGTATCACAAATGGAACTGACCAGTCAACGTGACGAATCATTTCTTGTATTTGATGAAATGTTATCATTGCAATATAAAAAAGAACTTGGGAAAAATTAATTCAATTTTTTTGAAAAGTGTAAAAATTGATAGATTTGAAAATGATCAGTGAATATATAGAATTAAAATTATCCATTTTTTTTTAAAAAATTATATGAGCCGTTGAGATAATTTCGTTATTTGTATATATTTAACTAACAGATATGATTTGTTTAACAATAATATTTATATTCATAATTTGTGAAGATATTGAAATAGAAAATTTAATGAATTATTCTTTTATCGATGAATTTAATACAAATAACCGTTATTCAATAAATTAAATTAAATTTAAAAAAACATCTAATATATCATTGATATTCATTGTTCAAATAAATTTCATAATGTTGTAAGTTACGATAAATTAGTTTTTGAATTGAGTTCAAAAAAATTGAATTGAAAAAATTCTTCTTAATTGATATTACAACACTTTTTATCCAAATAAAACTTTTGAATCATAATGATGTTTAGCAATTAATCTACATTTTTTCTTTCATATACTCAAAATTCAATAAATTTAGCCATTTTTGAGATTAGTTTTATTATAATTTCATGATACATAATACTGCAAATTATACTAATTTTAATTAAGGGTTTCGTTTTGCGAAAAAAACGTACAATACGCAATTTCGCTAAAAAACATTTAGCTAGCAATTTCGACCTTTGACTCCACTCAAGACGTCACTTTTTTAATTTTGCGGTATCATATTTTTGGAAAATCTTTATGAATATTATATAAAAAGTCTCTTTAATATCTATATTTCATATTTTTATCGATTTTTAAAGTTTTTGCGAAAAGTATTCAATTATTTTTGCTATTTGGTCGGGTAAATGTCAGATTTGCGACATTTTCTGATATGATATTCAGATTCTACGTTGATAATAATGCTTATAGAACCCTCTTGCTATTGTGTCAAAATTGCGAAACCGATAGCAAAAATATCTCGCAATATCAAAATTGAGATATTGAGTGAATTATGCATTATAGAGATTAAAAATCTGATTTGTGAAAACATCTCATCAGTTTCTAGCTAATTCAAAAATCTTTACTATCTTATTCGATTAAAATGAAAAGGGAATAGTTTCATTATGCTTTAAATGACAGCCTTATAATATAATCATAGTTTTCGCTCAATACGCAGCATTTTTTTTTCGAAATCTATGGTCAATGTCCTAAATACTGATTGCTTTGCATTCATATCTCTTACATTTTCTATACCCACATCACTATTCATTGCTATTCCTATCTTTTTCATTTTTGTTTGTTTCTCATAATTTCTCAAAAAACACGATAACTTGATATTTGTAAATATCATACTTTATAACGTAAATAAGAACTTGACCTATTAAGAAAAGCAGTAATGAAAAGAAAATCTGAAATTCATAAAAATTACAAGTTTCTGATGACAATTAGCTTAATTAAACCAGGTACAAGATTATATAATTGTATTTTCTATCCAATTATCCATATAATATCTTATCCAGAAAAAATAACTTGATCAATACCAAATGATTTTTTAACTAGTAAATAAAGTATTTTCTTTACACACACATTGTATATCATAGTTTTTTTTTTGGTTTCGCAAAACATCCAAAAACAAATATGCTATAAAAGTGACAATTTTAGCAAAACAAAACCCTTATTTTAATCAATCTAGCAAACATATTGGAAATTTACATATTAAAAATGTATTAAGAGCAAATAGACGAGAATTCAAACTGAATATGAATGTTCCAATGAGTAAACAATTAAAATTAATTATTTAGCTATTTTTCATGGTAAAAAAAATATCAATAATGTTACAACTATCAAAACAAGCGACTTGATAACTAGCAAGTATGAGCAGCATCAGAAAGTGCGGTGTTTCTCCTTTGTTGAATCCGTAACTTTTTCTATGGAATTATTATGCTTTAAATAATGATTTTTTGATGACTTTTGAGTGCTAAAACTTGTTGCAGTTTTTCTTGGATAGTTTTGACTACTTTTATTTGAAGTGTTTCGAAATTGGTTGTAAAAGCTTCCATATACGACAGGACTTAAAAATTTCTTTTTCTTTTTGGTGCTTTTATACTGAAGTGGTGCTCTAACTTCATTTGTAATAGTTCTATCAACATCATCGTAAACAGAAATAGGCCGTTTGCGAGCAGTTGATATATCCGAAGTATCTGATGGGGGAACGTATTTCCTTTCAAATCTAATTAACTCTGGACAATTTAGCAATTTATTATTTTCTGAGTTGTAAAGATATACCCATTTACCATTAACCTTTGCACTTACTTTCGCGCTTTCCCATCCACCAATCCTGTATTTTCTTATATCAGCTTGAAAGGGATAGGAAGAAGTCATCGTTCAACAGTAAATTTTGACAACTGATATGGGTAAAAAATTGAACAAATAATTTGAGCTAGATATTCGTCTAAGAACTTTAGACTTTTTTTTTAATTAATTTTTTATTTAATTCAAAATTTATTACAGTCACATTATTTGTATATATTATCTAAAAATATTCAACTCTTATTATTAATTTTCCTTTTTTCATCTAAAATTTTTTTGAAAAATCGATATTTGAGATATGAATCTAAAATTTTTTTTTTTGAATTTCGATCGAAAACATTTACATTTTTTTTTCAATATGAGACACTCACTGGGAAGTCCAATAAATATAACCACAGGGTTCAGGGAAATGACATTTGTTAGACCATGCACCACAGCTTCCAGCAATTTTTCTCTCGAAGAATTTCTTTCTACACCTGTTGATGTAAATCATGTAAACGAACCAAAGAAATTTAATAAAAAATCATCAAAAAGTCGGCATGTTAAAATGCTTGAAATACAACCGCGACCACAGTCATCATATTGTGCAACTATTGGTACGACATTGATGATGCACCAAGCAAAAGCTTACGATGTAATACATCAGCAAGAGACTGCCAAAAAGCGCAGGAATATGGAGAAACACTGGAAAGAAGAAGAGAATTTTAGAAATTGGAAGTCGCAAAAAATGCAAAATCGCTTATATGGAACTAGAAAACAATATGGAAACTGGAATAAAGACAATGGACTTATAGAAAAAATTGCATTAGAACGATACGAATATTATAAGCAACATCCTGGAAACCAACTATTTAATTCTTTCCCAAATAATAGTCCTCTTGAAGCTTCAAGGAGACTTGATGGATCAATAATTTCTAAGGTTTAATTCAATTTTTTCCGTTTCAAAAATAGTATTAGAATTTAAAAACTAACTAGTTTCAGAACATTGATCCAAATGATGACTTTATTCAAACATTTTGATTCTTTAATCTCATATCTCCTAATAAATCAAAATGTTCGAATTAAAGAACTGCAAGTATGTTTAATTTGCATTTTCTTAAATTTACGATCGATGTTCAGTAATTTTATTCATTATTTGCAAATATTTATATTTCCTACCACAAAGTGTAGGGGGGTGCATTTAATCAATTGTTGCTAAAGGAATACCATTATTACACCCCGAAAGTAGTCTATTCCTGGCCATCAATAAATTTTTAATATCGTTTCGAGAAAAGAAATAAGCGGCGCTAATTTAATAAAGATGTAATTTATTAACAGCTATTAACCATTTTTTATCAAATAAAAAGTTATAAACCCCGCCAATTTTATTTTTTAATTTGAAAAGATGGATTCTGAAGTGGAATCCCAGATTTCACTTCAAGATATAGATGCTGTGCTGGCTCAACGTGGCAAAAAATCACAAGATCTTGAATATCTTGTTAAGTTGACCAACAAAGCTTACAAAGATTCAATTTGGCTACGAGCTTCAGAATTACGCAAGACTCAAGAAGGAAGAAATATAATCAAAATGCTAAATTCTGAAGTTCCAATACCATATGACCCCGACAATTATTATGATCCATCTTTTAATCTTATTGATAGAATCTTAGAACAGACAAAAGATGGTTACTTAGTTAAATGGAAGAATCAACCTTACACAAATACTACTATAGAGAAAGATATTCAACCAGAAACCCTTGAACGCTACAATTATTTACAAAAATGCAAATATTCAAGGAGAAATGGCTATGCTTCGAGACCGCAGCATGTGAAAAGCTTTGAAAATCCAAATAACAATAAATTGAATTTGTCACCTACCCAAATTGTTACATTGAATACATTTATCTCATGCTTTAATTATGAGAAAACGATAAAAATAACTACAAGAAGAGAAATATCCGTTCCAAATGTATTTTTACTTTTCTGCGAATACTTATTTAACGAGTTCAAAATCGAAGGTCCATTTTTAGCTGTTTTACCACCAGAATTACTTCATGAATGGGATTTAATTCTCAACGACTCAAATTCATTACTCTCTGTTTTATATTCTGGGACTCCTGAAAATCGAGATATCATGACGAAATACTTAGTATCAAGAGATGGAAGTTTGAGATTTCACATTCTAATTACGTCACATGATATTTTTTCGACGGATATCAAAAAATTTAATCCAATTAAATGGGCTTTTGCTTACATTGCATCAAATGATAAGTTTGATTTAAACATAGTTTTACGGCACAGTGCAGTTATTGATAATTTTGAATCGTTTGACCATTATTCAAAAAATGTATATGAATACATCAATTTACTTGAAAAATTTCAACACACCAATGAAATTTCTGACTCAATAAATGATATTAAAAGGAGATTTCAACTCTTTTACCCTCTTTATGACAATAATGTTTCTGAAGTAGACTCTACTCCAACAATGAAATATATATTATGTCCATTAACACAAGAACAAAAGAGTTGCATAATTAATTCTACTTTAAACCACTTGGATAACATCAGAAACAATAAATTTACAATTTTAAAGAACGAATTACAAAGAATTTGCCATCATCCATATCTTGTCCCAGGAAATGAGATTCTTCTTCAGATGAATTATACTACAGTTTCTTCAAAATCTAGAGTCATCATAGATTATATCAAAGAATCTGTCAAAAATCATATAAAATTGGCTATTGTATCAGAATTTACATTTTTCTTAGATATAATTCAAGATTACCTCGAGGAAAACAATCTTTCTTGGTTCAGGGAAAGAGTTAATGAAGGAATTAATTTAATCAATTTCAGAAGTTTTGATTTTTACACAGATATCCAAAAGGCAGATTTAATAATCGCAGTAGATATTGATATTGACATTACACGGACAAAAGGAAACAAGAAAATTATCAGACTCATTTCGCCTTCAGAAAAAAACTGGAAATTTTTCACTGATGAAAAAATTTGTAAAGAAATTGTTGTGAATGGTCTTTACCAAAATCCGAAAGAGGATATATCAAAGGAAATAGATCATCTTCCGTCTGACAAATCATTTTTATCTGAAATCATTGATATGAATGATTTTTGGGATGATATCACAGATCTAGAACGAATCATTTTCAAACCAAAGCCAGAGATCACAGGGAAACTCAGTCTCAGACAACGAAACCAACTTATTAGAAGTTTATTCAGCTTCGGCTGGGACAACTGGGATAAGCTCAAAGAGTTCTGTGGCTTCTACATTTCACAAGAGAATCTGAAAGATCTTTGTCAGACAATCCTTCGAAAAGTTCTCTCTCTCAGCTCAGACAAGACACCAAACAAATATGAACTCATCAACCAGATAGTTGAGCAATACGACAGCAAAGATTCAGAGCAAATAGAGTTCTCTGATGTCTGCACTTTGATGCTGAAGGAAGCCAGCGACGAATTGCTTTCTACTTTCATTTTGATTCGCCAGTTCAACATGTTTGATATCGAGGATATCAAAGCACTCCCCGATATACAGATTTCGAAGGATATGACTGAGAAATGGTGGTCGAAAGAGCTCTCAAAGAGCTTGCTAAGGGCAATCTGCCAACTGGGATTCAGATCGTTCGACTACTTTGGGCTGATCGATGATGAGAAGATTTTGCAGATTTCACAGATGACAAATGATTTGTCAATGATTGGCGGAGTAGCAATCAATCTTTTAACTGAATGCCAAAAACATATCAAAAATGATAAGTTTATTTCATATATCTTTGTTTCCGAAAAACTCAAAAACCAATGGAAGAAAAGTCAAATTTTCTCGATTTGCAACTTCTTAATATCTTATGGAGTTCCACTCGATGACTACGACTCACTAGTCAAGGAGTTTAATTTCACAAGAGAAAATGGGGATAGATACGAGAAAGAAAACTACGAGGGTTTAGTTGGTGATATTTTGACCAACGCTCAATTGAAGCTCCAAAATGAAGTTTATGAGAAGCAAGCAGAACTGATTATACATGCAATAAACACAATGAAGGATCTCTGCTTCATATTCAACGGACAGAGAAGTGATGATGAAGTCATTTACTTCATAAATACCATTAAAAAATGGCAGAAAATGCCGAAATTATTCTCATTCGAAATAGAAGTACATTTGTTAAAGAGTTTGAAAGAAAAAGGATACATTGCAATTCCAGAAATCATCAAAGAAAAAGAAATAGTCGATTGCTTTGGTAAAGTTTCACCAGGCCCAATGCTGAAAATGAGCAGAATTGCGAAAAGAGTGTCTGCAATTGCCAATCAAATAAGGATATCTGTCCCACCTTCCGCCGAACAAATAGAAGATTTCAAAGTGAAAAGAGATAAATTCCTTAAAGAAAATCCACCAGAATGCAGAAAGAGAAAACAAAAGCCACCAAAAGCTATTCCTCAAAGAAATTCCAAACCAAAAATCACTCAAACGCCGCAACAACAAGCTGTATTGCAAATACCAAGAGAAGAAGATGCTAAATCAGAAGTCTTCTATGAAGAGAAAACCATTCCCAATCAAGAAAAAATTGAAGAATTCCAATCAAGTGAAAGCACTGAATCTAAAGAAGATGAACCGAAATTGATAAAGGAGGAAGAAGAAACCATTGAAAATACTCAAGTCATAGAAGAACAAAAGTTAGAAATCGTCAAACAAGTTGATGAAACACCAGACACTGAGTCAGCTAAAAAGAAACGGCCAAAGATCAAACTTACAATGAACTTATCTTCAGAAAAGAAAGAAGAAGATAAGGATGAAGTCAGTGGAAAACTTGCCAAAGAAGCAAAACAATATCTAGAATCAGAGATCAAAGAGAAAATTTCAGGAATATTCCAAGAAGAGTTGGAGTCCAAACATGTTGAACTGATTGAGAATTTCTCAGAAAAACTCATTGAATCAATTTCAGTTAAACTGATGGAAAAAATTGTGGCAAAGAGCAGTGAAAACGAAACTATAGACATCAAAGAGAAGAAGATTAAGTTAAGACTCAAAAAAACAGAAGAAAAACAGAAGAATGAACCAAAATCAAAAGAAAAATTTCCAAATACCAATGACAATCCGAAGGAAGGATTAAGACAGAAGCCGAAAATCATTTACATCGAAGACGATGGAAAGAGTTACTCATCTAATGACGACGACGATGATGAATTCGAAATACCAAAAGAGCTCAACCAAAAAATCTCACAACATGCAAAACAGAAATCGAAAATTGTTCAAAAAGATGTTGAGGCCGAAAGTTCTTCAACTATCAAAAAGAGTTCTCAAAAGAAGAAGAAAAGTTCTGCAAAAACATCTGAAAATAAATCGAAACAGAGAGGAAAAAGCACCAAAAATAAAACAGAATCACCAAAGAAAATCACAATTGTTTATAAAGAAGATGACGGGAAATCTTATTCTAGTGAAGGAAATGATTATTCTGATGATGATTTTGTTGACAATTCTAAACCACCACAAAAGAAAGCCATGAAAATACAGAAAAAGAATAATAGTCGTCAAAACAATTTAAAGTCTATTTCCAAAGAAGTCCAAAAATCAAGCTCAGACGAAGAGAATTTTGATTCTGAAACAAGTACTAAAATTAAGAAGCGGACAAATATCGAAATTGTCAATAATTACAAAGAAGAAGAATCAAGCTCTGGTGAAGAAAATTCTTACTTTGAAGCATACTCAGACGAAAGCCCCCTTCAAATGACAAAGAACGCTCCGAAAAGTAACTCTATTAACAGAATTCAAGCAGTCATTAATGAAAATTCAAGCGAAGATAATGACTATTCAGATGTAAGAGTTCAATCATTTAGATTAAAGCAAAAGAAATCTTCACCAAATACTAAAAATTCTGGAAAAGCGAAAAAGAATTCTAAAATAGATATTATGGAGGAAGAAAGTAAAGAAACTTCAAAATCCAACCAAAAGAATGTTCCACATAATACAATTGGAAAAGGAAAAACTAATAAATACCAATCCAAACCAGACAAAGGTATAAATAGAGATGATTCATCTGAAGAAGAAAAATTTAGAGGAAAACGAAAATCAAATAAAAAGATAAACATGTCCGATGATTATTCTCCTGAGGAAGAAATTTCATCAAAGAAGAGGAGACCTCCTCCAAAGAAAAAGATGAAGATATTATATGACAAAGATGATGATGAAGAAGAACAAATGGAAAAACCAGCAAAACAGAAAAAACGAAAACAAGCTACAAAACAAAAGAAGCAGACCAACGCCAAAATGAAAGTTTTATACGACAAAACTGACGATTATGACGAAGATTCAGAAGAAAAGAAGATGCCTAAGTCGAAAAATCGGAAAGTCGACACAGAAGAAAGCGCAAATTCCAGATCAAATAAGAATAATGATGCCGAGTTACCACTCATTGTTTCCCAAACATGCAAAGTCCTTGACTTAGGCAAAATTGTATATGATCGTCCGGCTTTCCACACAGAAAGATACGTTTTCCCAGCAGGATTCAAATCAAGCAGGATATTCAAGTCCCTCGTCAAACCAAATGAAACAGCAGAATTCATAAGTGAAATTGTCGATGACGGCGGAGAAACACCTGTTTTCAGAGTTTCCTCCGATAATATTGTTTACGAGGGTCCTACAGCAACACAGCCATGGGTACAGATCCTGAAAGAGGTAAATAGAATAAATGGAATTTCAGGAAGGTCAAACTCTGTGTCAGGCCCTGAAATGTTCGCTCTCTCGCATCCAATTATTCGATTCTTAACAATTTCTCTTCCTGATGCAGAAAAATGCTCAAAGTTGAAGAGACCTGAACTAGAGAAAAATAATTAATATGTTTTATATTCATATATTAGATAAAAACTTTATATAAATTATTCTGTAAACAATAATCATTATTATTAGAAGTTAGGTTGTGTATCTCATTCATATTTTGATTAAATGAATTTGACACTTAAAATAAAAGTGAATTGTCAAATCTGTCAAAAATTTTATATAAATTCAAAATGGAAAGTGATTCTCAAGAAGGAGTTTATAAATATGACTTGTTTTCTTGCTTCGAAGATATTCCTTTATGTCTTTTTGCAGTTTTTTGTCCTCCTTGCGCTGCTGCTTCAAACAAAGAAGCATTATCGGGGGGAGGATGCTGGTGCCCATCAATTGGTTTTATCCCAGAAATATATTGGACACGCCAGATAGTTAAAACTCGAAAACATATGGTTAGAGATGAAGTAGGCGACTGCGTTTTAACTATTTTTTGCCTCCCATGCGTATTAGTTCAGGATGGGAGAGAAATAAAATCCGGAAGTTGTCCACAAAATCCATCCGAGTACTATTTAAATACATTCGATCAAGTTCCATTGATGCAAGAATCCAGAAATAAGAAATACCTTGCATAACGACCACAAGGATAAAATATGCGCAATTAATGTATCTAATAAGTTTTCCATTATTTACAATATTAAAATGAAACACTAATATACTTATATCATATTTTTAAAATATATTGTTATTTTACTATTTTGGGTTATTATGCAACATTAGCGACTGCTCATTATGTATATTTTTTAATGAGAATTTGAAATTTTAATTTGCTTTTTCATCATGAATATTATTGATTTGAAACATGAAGAAATCTTGCAATAAATTTACACAATCAGAATAATACATACAAATATTTTAATCTTGAATTTCTTTATTCCATGATGGCAAATAAAAAAAATGTAATATCGATTGAGTTTGATGCCGGTTTCAAAAAAGAAATTTCAAAATGGCTATGAGCATTGAAAAAAATAAACAAAATAAATTGGCATCAAAATAATTAGTTAACAAATTCATCAATAAGATGTTTATTATATCAAATTTAAATATAAATTTGAATTCGATTGAAAATAATAAAATGATATATATATCTATTGTAATTCGAAAATAGTCTTAATACAATTTAATGCTACTAAATCAATTTTTGACACTAATTCAATAATAAAAGTTATCATTATGAGTTAACATTCATATTATTCAAATATCATATCAAATTCAGATTACCTGATGTCCGATATATAAAATTAGTCTGTAAATTTTTGACGGGCATTTCAATTTCTAAAATTTGAGAGCTAAATCACTATCCGTTTTGGAACTTTATCATAAATATCAACATTTATTACATATTTTATAAATTGGATAGTAAATAAGACTTTTGAATTTTGTAATACGATTAAGAAAAATTTTGTCCAATATTAATATATAATAATAGATTAAAACAATAATATTTTATTCAATAAGAACGATAAAAAATCGATTCAAAATATTTTATTAACATTTAACTTTGGAATTATATTATTATGAATATTCTATATTATAATTATCTTTATTCAAAATTTCTGAAATCTTTTCAAAACATTTTATTTTGAATATATCTTAACAAAAATCTTCAGAAAACCATAAATTGTTTTTTGTTTACAAACTTATATACATTAAAAATTTGCAAGACAGCATTTTTCAATTTGTGAGTGTTTTTCAGTTAATCTCAAATTTTCCACAAGCTCATTCAATCCAATTGTGAACAATTTTTTACTAACTTCTCACAATCCGTAAATCTTGATCATTTCAAAAATGGACTTCAACGAAAACATACCCCGAGATATTGGAAACTACGAACTGATCAGACCAATTGGCAATGGAACCTATTCAACTGTATATGTTGCCCGTGAAAAAGATACCAATGAAATCTTTGCTATTAAAGTTACTAATGAGCGCATTCTTATTAAAAATGGTCTCTATGATAAATTTAATCACGAATTAGAAATAGTTAAAAGATTGCAGCATCCAAATATAGTTTCTGTTAAAGAAGTAGTCCAAATCAACCATTGGATTTTTATAGTCCAAGAGTTCTGCTCAAAAGGAAGCCTCTATAACTATATATTATCATCCAGATTTCTAACTGAGCATGAAACCCTCAGGATTACTTATCAGATTCTTGATGCCCTCTCATATTTACATTCTTTGGGAATAGCTCATAGAGATATCAAGCCAGAAAACATTGTATTCGATGAAAGTATGACTCCAAAGCTCATTGATTTTGGCTTTGCCACTGATGAGATTGTGAAAAATAAACTTCATCACACTCAATGCGGCTCTGTTGCATATGTTGCTCCTGAAGTACTCACACCTTTTGGATATGATCCAATGAAGACAGATATTTGGTCATTAGGTATTACAATTTATGTAATGATCACTGGATGCTTCCCGTGGAACTTTAAAATGGATCAAACTATTTTAAGACAGATCTACTTATGGAATTGCGAAATTCCAGAAACAATACCTGTCACAGTTCGAGATTTATTACAAAGAATGTTAGTTAAAGATTCATACTCAAGAGCTTCCGCTTCTGATCTCTTGATGGATAAAAAGAAATGGAAGAGAGTTGTTTGAGCTTCAATGGGTGATATTGAGATTTCAATTGTTGGCGGAAATTATGTCTTGAAGCAACCAGAATCAAATGCTCCATCGCCACTAATTAGAAGAAGGACAATCATTCGCCCATCTAAGAAGGCCAAACCTTTTAAATTGATTTTGGATATTCAATAACTTTATGCGGTTTATCATTTGTTTTATTTTCATGTTTGTTATTCAGATTTAAAAATTTTGTTTGTATTCGGTTTAAATACTTTTGCCTTTTTTATAATCGATAAAGAGATTCGCTCCAGTACAAGCAGATTTCTCATCATCGGAATATTTCCAACTAAATAATAAGTCAATAGGAGAACTAACGACATATTCAATCGTTTTTTGACATGAAAGTATCAGAATTTGATATTGAATGAAGCTCGTGTTTCTGTGATGGCACCATATTAATGAATCTAAATCCAAAGAGTTCATAACGCTTAACACTTAAATTTAATAGAAAAAAAAAATAGTTAATTATATAAAAATACAAACAATTTAGTAAACCGCACTTGCAGATAATCTAGTAATCCTTGGGTGGTGAACAACTATCTGTTGCCTTGCTACGGACGTTAAAATCCTACTTGTTGAGCGTGGTTTAATTTCAAGTGAATCACCGCATAATTGGTATATTTTGAATTTGATCTGTGCCATTGTTGGCCTTTCCAACGGATCTAAATTTAAACATTGATCAGCAATACGTGCTAAAGGACCGTATCTAGGGAAAATCTTTATGTATCCGTTCTTAATGTCTCTTAAGATAGTAAATGGATCGCGAGAAATAAATGGAAATGTTACTCCAAAACTCCATACATCTGATTTAAATGGGCAAAATTCTTTTCCAATTATGACTTCTGGAGCCATATAGTTTAGTGTTCCTCTTATCTTGTTATCGTTTATTTTGTTAGAATCATTAGTAATGTAGTGAGATAAGCCAAAATCACATAATTTTGCACGATCGTACTGATCTATTAATATATTGGAAAGCTTGATATCACAATGAGCAATTCCTTTTGAGTGCATGAAGGAGAGAGCATCAACAATCTGAAGGGTATATTTATTGATTTTTTCTTGGGTTATTCTCTTTTGTGTTTTCACAAGATCTAATAAGCTACCATTGGAGCAATATTCAAGAATGATGAAGGAAATATCTTGTTCAATAAAATAATCATAAATACGTACAATATTTGGATGGTTGAGCTTGGAGAGAATCTCGGCCTCTCCATAAAAACTTGCTAAATACTCTTGTGGTAAATCAGTAGTTCTTGAAACTTTGCAAACAAAGTTCATGTCGTATTTGAGACTTTTTATTAAGAAGCAAGAACGATATGAATCATGATCTAGATACTTGACGATCTCATAATCATGGTACTTAAGAATGGTAACAATGTTGGCTTTCATTGTGAAAAATGAAACATGATAATTGAATATTTATTATCTTCAATTTGATTTTATGAAAAATTGGTTTGTATTTATCAGTGAAAAGTACCAAACATGTTTAACGATTGCGAAGTAAAAAATTGATAAGAGGGTTGAAAATGTTTCTCTTTCAATTTTTTACGTCAAGCTCAAAATAATTGAATAGTTTGAAATGGTCCTTTAGTATAGCTCTGTTTATTAAATACTGACCGAAATAAAGAGAAATAAATACATCTAGAAAAAATCTTATTGAATATTTTGAGAAGATTATTCAATCTATTAACGAAAAAATTTTACAGAAATTTTTAGCAAAAATATATAACGAATATGATATACACCATTTTCCATTTTATATGTCAAAAAATATAAATATCCCCTCAATTTAAATGTTCTAGAAAATTGAAAGCGGAGGATATATAAAACGAGATTTTTTCCCCATTTTTATTAAACCAACTGATGATGTTATTATCGATTGGGGGAGTTTAATATCTCTAAATAAAAACCTTATTAGTTACAATTTAAAAAATTTATAACACATGAGCTATGCAATAATCTGAGCTCGAAATTAAATTTATTTAGAACTCCAAATGTATTCATTTAAAATTCCGATTTTTCAAAGCTCAAGTTTCCGTTGATTGGTATATAGTATTGGTATCAGATACATTTTGATGATATATTCATAAATATTTTTCCTAAATTAATTGATTTTTGCATTCTTTGACATAGATGTATTGAGATAAAACTTTTATTATTATCTGCATATTTTCTCTACAATAATGTAAATTATATACATTTAATATTTTTGTTGATATTGTTTAACATTTGTAAATTTTATTTTGTAGGGATTTATTCATATAAATAAAAAAGTTCTTAACCTGCAATTGACGAACATTTATTAAAATTAGATTTTAAAAAAAACAAGACGGTCATGTAGAATTTCAAACCGGTAAAGGTTCAAGAGCGGGTCGCTTTAATTTTTTATTATTTAAATTAATAAAGAGTCTTATTTTCATACTATACTTGAAATCGTTGAGAAACATATGTCACACACTTTGTATGTATATTGAATTAATTCAGAATTTCTGTCTCAAAATTTTTGAATCATCAACACAATAAATTGAATGACCGCTAGGTTTCATTCAATTAAAATGGTACCATATATTATATCATGCAAGATATTGCGAAAAATTTTTGATAACTTGTAAAAAAGTGTAAACTTCAGAATACACAATAATATGTTATTTGGATACTATATATATTTGCAAATATTATTGCCACTCAAAAAATCACGATTTCAATTTTTCTCGAAATCTAGCCTTGAAATGTATATTAATTTTACTAAATATAAGCATTATATTATATGCTAATGGACTTTTTGCAAAGTTAGTAGTTAAACATGTATATAAGGTAGTCACAAAATCTAAGTAGTGAGGCTCTCAAAAATTGAACCGTACTCCATACAAAATTTGTGTACCCTCACTACTTAAATTTTGTGGCCTTCAATTGAGAGGTTAGTTTTGATAGAGCAAGTTATAAAATTAAAAGGGAAAAATAAATAAAATTTAAACATTTAATTATATATAATGTAACGAGTGTAATTCCAAATTTTCTAAAAACTATTCAAATTTGAGCATTTTTTGGAAATAGTAAATCTAATATGTACATCTAATAACAACATGATTCATCACCTTTTCAAGCTCTGCAGTCAATTTTTTGAAATTTGATTGAAATAAATGTAGGAAAAATTACATTTCATTAGGGAATATATGAGTTTCTCTGGAAACAGGCTGATAAATTTTAAATTTTGTCCAATCAACATGAATGCATTGAGAAATTTGGATTGATTTTCTGGTAGAATCTGGAACAATTCAACCATGTATAAATGGATCATGTAATCATCATGAAATGTTAGTGTTAGAGTTCAAAAGAAACAGAATGAGTGGAAATCAAACACAATCTGAATAATTTTAAACGTATACAATCTTTAAGTTTGTATTTTGAATTCTACATATATGATTGTGTAATTCGTTCTTTCAAATTTTCGGATTCAGGCATGTTTTGATAAAATTCATTCCCAAAAACGTCAATTAACAATTAAATTTAGTGTATTTTAAATATATATACGTATTATATTTTATAAATTATATTAAATTCGCAAAATTTTAAGTTTTAAACAAAAATAAAAAATGTTCAAAATATGAAATTATGCATAGGATATTAAAATTTACATGTTAGCAATTTTTTTGAATTGCTTTCAATTTTCATATTGAAAATTTTAAGATTTTTTTCTGAAATAATAAGCAAGAATATCAACCTAAATAATATTAAATTCCATGCGTTAATTTCCCCTCAAAAGTCATTGACCGCCTCTCAATCTAGATTTTGTGAGTACTTTATATATTCCTCCAAAGTTCTTTCAATTTCATTGAAAGGGAGGACAAGACTGCAATGTTATCTTTTTGAGTTTTTTTTTTGTATTTCGAGGTTAAATAAATTAACGTATTGCACCAATGTGTTATAACAGGTCGATTTATAATAAAATAATTATTATAATAAATTTGATATTCAGCGACGGCGCTACGCGCCTTTTAGCATTCTGGGCACTTACGTGCCCAGAATGCAAGCTTGAGAAATTTGAAACTTCGTTTCAAATTTCTGCCTTGCTGTTATGTAAAAAGATTTTTTTGGTGTGAAAATTGAATGTAAAAATAAAATTTAGTTTTTTCCCTGAGATATGGATTTTTTAGAAGATATTAGAGATGTCAGTCTCAATTTACAATTTTTTTTAAATTGAGAGGAATTTTAATGATACGATTTTATTTGATATATGGATTTTTTAGAAGATTTTAAAGATGTCAGTCTCAATTTATAAAAAAATTTAAAATTGAGAGGAATTTTAATGATACGATTTAATTTGATATATGAACTTTTTAGGAGATTTTAGAGATGTCAGTCTCACCTCAGTGAATGAGATCAACTATATGATAACTTTTTCCCCATTATATTCTTGTGGAAAAGTGACAAATAGCAACTTTGACCCTCTCTCAATGTGTCGCGAGCTTGAAGTCTAAAATGGCAAATACTGAACTTATTTAAAATTTGATTTAATAAATAAATCATACTTTATATCAGTATCCTAAAACAATTTTTAAAATAGAGTTTTAAAAATCCAAAATTTCATGAAAAGTGACAAAAAGTGCCAAATTGCCAGTATATGAGATTTTAATGATATCAGTATTCACATACTATGTATACTCTAATATTTATAATATAATTGAATTTTATTCACATCAAAAAATTTGAATCATGGAGTTGATGAATATTAATGAGTTAATACTAATATACAAACTAATGTGAATAATGATACACTAAAATTATTGAGTTTTATTTTTTGAGTTTTGAATCTCTCGAATTTCCCACACAAACATATATTAAATTTATAAAATAAAAAAAAAAAAAAAAAAAAGGTAGTCTCACGAGAAAACTGACGGTAAAAATTCGATGAAACCAGGTGCATTGTATAGTACATATATGTGGTAAATAAATGTCGATTAGCTTTGTAAAAAATATCCCACAGTTTTTGAGATCTTGAAAACGGCCATTCAAAAAGTCGAAAATTTTCGCGAGATGTTAATGGGCAAGACAGTTTTTCGACAAATAAATCGTAAACATGGGAATTAAAATAAGGCGTTATATTACATATATGGTAAAGAATATGGATGTGAAGAGCGTTAGTAGAATGGAAAGACTTTGAAATTTTAAAAAATTTATCTGGACTAAAAAATTATTTGATTATAAAAAACATATTATATATCAATTGCTATATAGAACTATCATAACAGATTTTGGAAAAGCCGCAAATCCCCAAGTTGGAGAATTCATTAAATACTAATTATTCAGCTTTTTATCAGAAAGGAAGGTAGTGTAGTGGTTGGGAACGCTATGCTCTTTTTGAATCTAAAAGGCAACTGTTCAAATCATAACATCTTTGTTTTTTTTCTTATTCTGCCATTATTGTTTTTCCTTGTTATGATTCAAATTAAAAATATTTTAGTAAAGGTATTTTGGACATCATTTTTTCACATTGTCTCAATGCAAATGTTTGAAAATTTTGTAGGCAATATGACAACTCTTTCAACATTTGTTCTCTTTTATTAACTCAAACAGATTTAGGATCTAATTTCATGCCTTCGAAGACATTTAAACCATCTTCAACATAATTTATTGACAAATTGATAACAATTACTCATGAATGTCGTAGATTTAATATCCTGTCACTCAGCAACAAATTCGGGTTCAATAACAAAGCTCAGTAAAAACTTTCCAGAAATTCTCCAATTTATTTTAGTGTCTTTTTGCGTCATTACGGCTGCATTTTCTTCTGCATCTGAACGCTGTGTTTGGAAGAAGACGAAATACAGAAACTTTCAACACAAGTAATCAGATTTTCTTGTCTTTCATGTTAAAATGCTTCATCTCGCTAGGTATACGTCATTTATTGGATGGATTGTTAGCTTTGTGTCCAAATAGCAAAAAAAAGTATTAATTTAAATTTCGCATTTTGCATAAGTATACGCTTTAATTTATATCAAAACAGATTTAGATAGCTTAAAACAATATAGTTTACTCATAAATACATCTTGATAATTCACTTCTTCAATTTTCATAATCTTATATCCTGACCTATATCCTCTTATAAACCATATTTCTACTGAGATCTTCTTAAAGCATCTTTTTATCCCTATCTACGCCTCGAAACCCTATTTTTCCGGCGGAATATGAATCTTCGGGTCTCGCTGATTCGATTTCTGCAGTCAGATCGTAAAAATACCCACTACATAGCCTGATAATCTCAATTTAAGTTCCTTAATTTTTTTGAAAAAAAAATTAAAACTCCCTTATCAAACATCATGCTCATTTTTACGAATTTCATTTTTCCTTTAAGTTTAAAATATACGCTTTTTAGCATGTTTATAATACAT